TGAGTCCCCCTGGCCGTCTGTAAGGAAGCCAACCCGCTCTGTGAGGACCTGCCCAGAAACCTTCACAAGCAGCGAAGATCTTAAACCCGGAGAGGCTTCAAAGGGACACGGAGCGTTTCATGTCAAAAATCACCTGGCCTCTGCCTCACAAATCTCTTTGTCGAGGCCAATCCAAATCTCCTGCTGGGTGGAGGTACAACAGATGTGGTTGTGTATATTTAAAGCTTGTAGCGAGCTGGGCTTGGTGATGCCCTAAAGCAGTGTTTCCCATGGCTGTGGAATTCTGGGAGTTGAAGTTGAAGTCCTCATGCCTTAAAATTGTCAAGTTTGGGAAACACTGCCCTAAAGAATATTTAATAAGGCAAGTCTTACTTTCAGCTTCGTATAAGTTCCTGGATAACAGGCAACAACGTCTCATGCCTAGCAACCATGTCAACTGCTGGATTAATACCCTCCGCTGGTTTTCCCAGTTGCAATGTATGGCTGTGAAAGTTGGACCATAACAAAGGCCGAGCGCCAAAGAATTGAGGCCTTTGAACTCTGGTGCTGGAGAAGACTCCTGCGCGTCCCCTGGACTGCAAGACGATCCAACCGGTCAGTCCTAGAGGAGATCAACCCTGACTGCTCTTTAAAAGGCCAGATCCTGAAGTTGAAACTCAACTACTTTGGCCACCTAATGAGAAGGAAGGACTCGCTGGAGAAGAACCTAATGCTGGAAAAGATTGAGGGCAAGAGAAGAAGGGGACGACAGAGAATGAGGTGGCTGGAGGGAGTCACTGAAGCAGTAGGCGTGAGCTTAAATGGACTCCAGAAGATGGTAGAGGACAGGAAGGCCTGGAGGAACGTTGCCCATGGGGTCGCGATGGGTCGGACACGACTTCGCAACTAACAACAACAATCCCTCATGTCCGTCTATAAAGACTCAGAAGGACACAAGTTTGATCTAGCCAGGACCACAGTTGTAGCCCAAGTGAAATCAAGGGGAGAAAGAGAATTCCTCGAAGCCGGGCTCTCCACCAATAAGTCAATCAACAGACACATTGACATCGACCCAATCTACCAACTGCTGAGAACGAAGGAACTGCTTCAACCGCAATCCTGAAGGCAGCCTTTAAAACAAACACACACCCCACCACAGAAACAAAACTCATAAACCTCCCTCCACAAGAAACCGGACCATGTCCCGACAACAACAGCCAGCCAGCCAAACAATCCGAAACCAGACCATGATTCAGAGGCAACCAAATGGACAAACACCATGTGCATCGCACAGACAATACTTAAACACCAAAGACTATGGCCCAGCAACAACAACAACCAGCCAATCAAACAGCCCAAAACCAGACCATGACCTCCGGACAAATAACAGCCACACCAATTTACGTCAAACAAAAGGTATTTAAAGGCCAGTGCTCTTACAGACTAGCACAATTCAAAGCACACTGAAGATGTCCCCCGGATTGGAGACGGAACGTTTGCAGCCAAATCGCTGAGCTTGGAGATCAAACCAACAGCCCAGCCCTGAAATTTGCCATGCTGGGCTTATTCGTACTATACTGAGTAACCATAGTTGACTGAGTTTGCACATCACACCACCCAAAAACTTTGTTTCTCCTTAGTTCCAGGTTGCTTCTCTCCTTGATTAGTTTCCATCCGTTGCTTCTTGTCCTGCCTTCAGGTGCTTTGGAGAATAGGTGGACCTCCCACTTCTTTGTGGCAACCCCTCAAATATTGGAAGATGCTATCAGGTCTCCCTTAAACCTTCTCTTTATTAGGCTCAACATACCTAGTCCCCTTAGCTGTTCAATGTAAGGTATAGCCTCCAATTCCTGGATCATCTTTGTTGCTCTTCTCTGCATTCTTTCTAAAGTCTCAGCATCTTTTTTGTATTGTGGTAACGAGAAATGGATGCAGTATTCCTAGTGTGGTATTACCAAAGCAGTATAAAGTGATACTAACACTACTCGTGATCTTGATATTCTCCTTCTGTTGATGCAGTCTAGGACTGCGTTGGCCTTTTTGGCAGCTGCAGCACACGTCTGGCTCATACTGAAATGGTGGTCCACCAGGACACCTAGATCTTTCTCACATAATCACATCTTGGATAGCAATAGCCCTTAGACCAGTGGTTCTCAAACCTGTGGGTCGGGACCCCATTTGGGGTCAAACGACCATTTCACGGGGGTCGCCAAACAACGCAGTCCGCCATTTTTTTCCCCTTTTCCTTAGCTATGCTACTCCCTTTTATTCTATTGGCTTTTGAAAGCCAATAGAATAGACTCTCTTGAATAGAGTCTAATTCTATTGGCTTTCAAAAGCCAATAGGAATTGTCCAGGCTGTCTCTGCCCTGCTGAGCCCGCCAAAAGCCCCAGTCTGCAAACGGTGCTGCACCAGTTGAGTAGTCCTCGACTTACAACCGATTGAGTAGTCCTCAACTTACGACCGGTTGGGGGTCGCGGCATTAAAATGGTTGAGAACCACTGCCTTAGACTTATATACCGCTTCACAGTGCTTTACAGCCCCTCTCTAAGGGGTTTACAGAGTCAGCCTATTGCCCCCCACAATTTGGGTGCTCATTTTTACTGACCTCGGAAGGATAGAAGGCTGAATCAACCTTGAGCAAGTCAGGATCGAACTCCTGGCAGTGGGCAGTGAGTTAGCCTGCAATTCTGTATTTTAACCACTGCGCCACCAGGGCTCCTATTGGGATTTATTCCCTGCCTGACTATGGAGAAATCCACCAGTTCAGTTGTGGTATGGTGCCCAAAGAGGAGGGATAACTCCAAGGGGCAATAAGTTAGCCTGAAATACTGCTTTCTAACCATTGTGCCACTAGGGCTTCATATCTGTCTGTCTGTCTGTCTACATCCATCCATCCATCTATAGCAATAGTGCTTAGACTTATATACCACTTCATAATGCTTTACAGCCCCTCTCTAAGGGGTTTACAGAGTCAGCCTATTGCCCCCAACAATCTGGGCCCTCATATTACCGACCTCAGAAGTATAGAAGGCTGAGTCGACCTTGAGCTGGTCAGGATCGATAGCAGTGGGCAGAATCAGCATGCAATGCTGCATACTAACCACTGGGAGGGAGGGAGGGAGGGAGGGAGGGAGGGAAGGAAGGAAGGAAGGAAGGAAGGAAGGAAGGAAGGAAGGAAGGAAGGAAGGAACGAACGAACGAACGAAGGAGGGGGAGGGTGGGAGGGAGGGAGGGGGAAGGAAGAGGAAGGAAGAGGAAAAACAATAGCAATAGTACTTAGACTTATATACCACTTCACAGCGCTTTACAGCCACTCTCTAAGCAGTTTACAGAATCAGCATATTGCCCCCAACAATCTGAGTCCTCATTTTACTGACGTCGGAAGGATGGAAGGCTGAGTCATCCTTGAGCCGGTCAGAATCGAACTGCTGAACCACCGGCAGCTGGCAGTCAGCAGAAGTAGCCTGCAGTACTGCATTCTGACCCACAGCTCTTGAGCTTTTTCGGTCTTTCATACTTGCGGATCAAAAAGTCATGATAGCCACCCCAAGTCTCCTCATAGGGGGAGATGGGTGGCGTAAAAATAAAATAAATAAAAATGAAATAAAAGATGGAATTGCATGACCAGCCTGGTCCCATTAAAACCTTTCTGAAGGTTTTTGGGAGTTTGATGTATAGATAGTTCTCGACTTACAACCACCACTGAGCCCAAGCTTTCTGTCGTTAAGCAAGATGATTGTTAAGTGAGTTTAGTGCCTGATTCTCACAACCTTTCTTGCCACCACTGTTAAGTGAATTGCTGCAGTTGTTCAGTTCGGAAGACGGTTGTTAAGTGAATCCGTCTTTCCCCCTTGACTTGGTCAGAAAGTCGCAAAAGGGGATCATGTGACCTTGGGACACCGCAACCATCATAAATGTGAGTTAGTGGCCAGGCTGTCTGAATGTACATCATCATATGACCATGGGCAGGGGTAGGCAACCTTGGCTCTTTTATGACTGGTGGACTTCAACTCCCAGAATTCCTGAGCCAGTCATGCTGAGGGGAAAGGGAGAGGTTTCCAAGCTGAGCCATGCTGGCTCAGGAATTCTGGGCCAGCGTGAGGCAAATTTTGGCCCCTTCATGACTTGTGGACTTCAATTCCCAGAATTCCTGAGCCAGCATGAGGGAAACTTTGGTCCCTTCATGACTCGTGGACTTCAATTCCCAGAATTCCTGAGCCAGCATGAGGGAAATTTGGTCCCTTCATGACTCGTGGACTTCAACTCCCAGAATTCCTGAGCCAGCGTGGCTCAGCTTGGAAATCTCTCCCTTTCCCCTCAGCGTGGCTGGCTCAGGAATTCTGGGAGTTGAAGTCCATGAGTCATGAAGGGACCAAAGTTTCCCTCATGCTGGCTCAGGAATTCTGGGAATTGAAGTCCACAAGTCATGAAGGGGCCAATATTTGCCTCATGCTGGCCCAGAATTCCTGGGCCAGCTTGGAAACCTCTCCCTTTTCCCCTCAGCATGGCTGGCTCAGGAATTCTGGGAGTTGAAGTCCACGAGTCATGAAGGGCCAAAGTTTCCCTCATGCTGGCTCAGGAATTCTGGGAATTGAAGTCCACAAGTCATGAAGGGGCCAAAATTTGCCTCACGCTGGCCCAGAATTCCTCAGCCAGCATGGCTCAGCTTGGAAGCCTCTCCCTTTCCCCTCAGCATGGCTGGCTCAGGAATTCTGGGAGTTGAAGTCCACCAGTCATAAAAGAGCCAAGGTTGCCTACCCTGACCATGGGGGTACTGCAACGGTCATTAAGTATGAAAAACGGCCCTAAGTCACAATTTTCAGTGCTATTGAACGGTCACTGAGTGAACTGTTGTAAGCCAAGGATTAAACCTGTACAAAATATCAACTAGAATCAGAATGTCCACAGGAGAAAGCAGGTTAGTCTGCTAATGAAAGGTGGGGAATAAGGAGATGACTTCCAGAGAGAGACTGGAATTAAAGCACACTCAGCACAGTACAGAAAGATGCAACAGCACCTGTGATTCCAGAGAAGTTAATTTTCTTCCCATTAGTTTGTCTTCTTTCTTGGCTGTGGGAGCTTTCTGTTTTTCTTTCTCCTTTGACTTCTCCAGCTTTTGCAGTTCTTCCACATAAGCGTCGTAGATGTTCCACTAAGAGGGACAAAGAGCGAGTCAGCCGTCTACAGAGGTGGAAGATGCTTTGCTCGGTTCAGCTAAGCCCAGGGGTCTTCCAACTTGGCCCTTTTATGACTGGTGGACTTCAACTCCCAGAATTCCTCAGCCAGACACGCTGGCTGAGGAATGGTGGGAGTTGAAGTCCACAAGTCATAAAAGGGCCAAGTTGGAAGACCCTTGATCTAGCCCCATGTTTTTCAAACTTGGCCCTTTTAAGAGGGGTGGACTTCGACTCCCAGAATTCCCCAGCCGGCTGTGGAACCAAAACAAAGGCAAGTCTTCCTCTAAAGCAATCTTGGCCCCTTTAAGATCTGTGGACTTCAGCTCCCAGAATTCTCCAGCCAGCCTTGCTGGGGAAGTCCACAATCTTCAAACTGCCAAGGTTGGACACCCTGGGTTAAGCTGATGCCTAAAATACATACCGGTAGTTTTTTAAAGTACAGCCACAATTGAGCCACTGAATTAGGAAGACCATTGTCAAAAGCAACAACCTTGTGAGGTAGGTTGGGTTCAGAGAGCGACTGGGCCAAAGTCACCCAGCTGGCTTTCGTGAACTCATAAAACTTGTGGACTTCAACTCCCAGAATTCCCCAGCCAGCATGGCTGGCTGGGGAATTCTGGGAGTTGAAGTCCACAGGTCTTAAAGTTGCCAAGGTTGGAGATGGCTGTGGTGGAAACAGTCTCCATGTTCAGAAAAAAATCAGTTTTACAGGAAATGCAGACCATGAGAAAGAGGATGTAACGGAATGTATTGCCAGGGAACCATACTCCCTGCACGCAGAAAACTAGAGACTAAAAGGATATTATATATAATGCCACATTATGCTGCACTAGTGAGGTCACACTTACAATCCTGCATCCGGTTCTGGTCATCTCAATACAAAAAAATTCTGGGAGTTGAAGTCCACACCTCTTACAAGTTTGAAAAACACTAATTTAGTCCCCGTGCAACCTCCAAGAAAAAGTGTGAAGCCAGCAGGGAAAACACAACTCCACAAAAAATAGAGAAGGGCCAATGACGACTATACCTGCAACATATAAATCCCGACAGGAATCATGCTGAAACAGGATGAAGGATAGGAAGAAGTCCAGGCTGAAATGCCCAAGCAAGAAAGAGCTGCAGCAAACAGGACAGTGAGTTTAGGAAGGAGGAAAGGAAAAAGGAAAGACGATAGAAAAGTAGGATCTGGCGGCAAAGCTCTTGTTGCATAAGAAAATTCCCAAAGGGCCTATAACTAAGGGCAGTGAGGAAGAGCTAAGATCCTGCCAGGAACAAAAAGAGGAAAAATAACATAAAGTAGAACTTCATGCCCAGGGGTGTTACATTGCAAAAGCATGCACACATGTTGGGTTTCCCAGCATTGCAAAGTTCAAGATCATTCGGATAAATTTAACAGATTTCTAAGTCACGCAAATTGTGAGTTCCCCACAATTTAAGGGATTGTCCTCGGTTGCTTGGAACAAATGCTGGAGACCCTATGCCATTTTCAGACAAGTGGTTGTCTAATCTCTTCTTGAAAACCTCCAGTGATGGAGCACCCACAGCTTCTGGAGGCAAGTGTTTGCACTGATTAACAGAATAACAGTTGGAAGGGATCTTGGAGGTCTTCTAGTCCAACCCCCTGCTTGGGCAAGAAATCCTATAGCATTCCAGACAAATGGCTGCCCAGTGTCTTCTTAAAAACCTCCAGTGATGGAACACCCACAGCTTCTGAAGGGAAGCTGTTCCACTGGTTAATTGTTCTCACTGTTAGGAAGTTTCTCCTTAGTTCTAGGTTACTTCTCTCCTTGATTGGTTTCCATCCATTGCTTCTTGTCCTGCCTTCTTCAGACACTTTGGAGAGGCTGTGGCAGCCTCTCAAATGTTGGAAGACAGCTATCATGTCACCCCTGATCCTTCTCTTCATTAGATTGGACATACCCAATTCCTGCAATTGCTTTTCATATGTTTTAGCCTCCAGTCGCCTAATCATCTTTGTTGCTCTTCTCTGCACTCTTTCTAGAATCCCAACAGCTTTTTTTACATCATGGTGACCAAAACTGGATGCAGGATTCCAAGTGTGGCCTTACCAAGGCCTTATAAAGTGGTATTAACACTTTGCCTGATCTTGAGTCTATCCCTCTGTTAATGCAAACTAGGATTGCATTCCATCCCTCTGTTAACAGGAGCTGGATTGCATGCAGGGGTGTCCTGGCAGACCCACAAGGAAGACAGGAGTAATTACCTGATTGGCGGTGTCCGAGAAAGTTGCTCTGGGCGGGGGCTCCATCTGGCAGGCCCTGTCCTGAAAGAAAAGAGTTTGTCGAGAATTTCCTCCCAGAATTCAAGCACCATACAGTTATATATACACTTTGGGATGAACACCCCTTCGAATGGCGCGGGAGCATGAACGGATTTCCAGAAAACATCGTAGACTACAGGAACCATTTGCGCTTCAGTTTGAGATGCAGACCACACAGACTCATCCCCAACAGTCTTGCGCCTGTCTTCAACGGCGAAGGGACCCGGGGCAGAAAACATCCTGCAGCCAAGAAAGCTCCATACCCATTTGCATCACTCAGGTGACCCTCAGGACACAGGTAAACCTCTAAGTGGCCTCAACCACTCTCTAAAACAGGGGTTCTCAACCTTGGCAACTTTAAGACTTGTGGAATTCTGGGAGTTGAAGTCCACAAGTCTTAAAGTTGCCAAGGTTGAGAAGCCCTGCTCTAAAAGAAGGCAAATGACCATCTGTCTGCAAGGAATATAAATCCTTCCATTCCTCACCATCTAGTTACAGCTGAAGAAGCTTCTTGGATGAGAAGCAAAACGCCTTCAAAGAAAAACAAGAAAGTTCAGCTGCCTCTTTAAAAAGGCACCTTTGGGACTTACTTCTTATCCTGCCCTCTGGTGCTTTGGAGAATACGTTCAGTCCTCTCGTCTCTGTGATAGCCCTTAAAGCAGTGGTGGCGAACCTATGGCACGAGTGCCAGAGGCGGCACGCAGAGCCCTCTCTGTGGGCACACGCACCGTCGCCCCAGTCCTAGGCCTTCAGCTGGGTTTTATAAAACCTTTTCGCTTTAGGCCTCCACTGCCATGTGCAAAAAAAAAAAAAAAAAAAGGTTCAATCAGTCAATTTCAACTTCTCGCGGGGGAAAAAAAAAGATCTTGCAAAGTTGGAATGGATTGATTGAACTTTTTAGTCCCACCCAGTCTGCCGTTACCACCGCAGCCAAGCCCACCCAATTGGCCACACCCCCCCAATGGGCCACGCCTACCCGGTACCCGACGATACATAAGTGGGTTTTGAGTTGCAGTTTGGGCACTCGGTCTCTAAAAGGTTCGCCATCACTGCCTTAAAGTATTGGAAGATGGCTACCTGTCACTCCTAATCATTAAACGTTCCAAATTGGGTCAATTTCCCAGATTTCCAACAGTGACAAATATCTGGTGAATTTCCCAGATGTTGGGAGCCCCACATGGAAGGGGCATCCACCCTCCACCAGCATGCAAAAGATGGATCAAAGTAAACGAGGCCCCATTGCTTTCGATCAGCCCCAAAGCAAATCACTCCCACTGGGGCAAGGCAGTAAAGGCAGTCCTTGAATTACAACCGTTCGTTTAGTGATTATTTAGGCGTAATGGCGCTGAAAAGAGCGACTTATGGCCGCTTTTCATCTATCTGTTGCAGCATCCCCATGGTCACTGTTGTGTCCTGAGCCTGCAAAGGCAGGCTCGGGACGTTGCAATGGTCCCGGGCAGTTGCAAGCTGCCCGGGACCAGACTGGCTGGCGCCAGCTTCACACGCATGCGCAAGGCGCGGAGCGCGCCAAATGTTGCCATTTGGTCCGGGGAAGTGTTCTTAAGAGGAGCAGAGAGGCCTGCGTGCCTCAGAGCTAAAACGGAGCGGAAGAAACTACAATAAAGGCTTCTTGCCACTACGAGATGCTCTGTGATTATTAGCCATTAAGCTGAGGACTCAACAGTCACGAGATCAAAATTCGGACGCTTGGCAACTGACTCTTATTTATGACGGTTGCAGCGTTCTCTTTTTGCGACCTGCTGACAGGGAGTCAATGTGCAAGCCAGATTCACTTAACAATGAATGGTTCTGGAACAAAGGGAAATTGTTTAGTCTAACTGTTGCTTTCTTGCTTTTTGGAATCGGCTTTTGCACCAGGGAAATCTCATGCAAGCATGGGAAACGTGTACAGTAGTAGCCAAAATTGTGGAAACCTTTTGGGAAAAGTGTATTTTTGAGATTGGATGGCTAATAACACCACTTTTTTTGGAGTAGTACCATAAAATTATATATCAATGGAAAGATAATTTAATCAAGAATGTAATGCAACAAAGTTTATTCAATTATCTGTGCTGTATTCTATGAAACGTTAGAGCCAAATAACCAGAAAAAGGAAATACAACTTGCTTAGGTTGATATCAGGTAGCTTTCCTTCATCTGATTGTAGCCAATGAGCATGAATGTTTAGACAGCCAATCGGGTGTCATCTTGTTTTGGCCATGAGCCAATCAGATCACAGTTAGATTCAGTTATTGGTGTCATGTATTGAAGCTGTATTTGTCAGTGTGTTATGTGATCGTTAGCAAGTTGGTTGGGATTTTTTGTGTTCTTTCATTTAGTGAGCTTGTAAAACGTAATAAAATTAAACTAATGGTGCAAAGAGTTGACTGGTCGCCCAGAAAGCGGTGTAAACTAGTATTATTAAGCGAACAAAGCTACAGTTATAAAGAAATTAGAATAAAAATGGGTGGAAACTTAACCAAAGGTGGTGTTTCTACTGTACACTTTTCCCAAAAGGTTTCCACAATTTTAGCCACTACTGTACATGGATGGGATGCACTGAAGAAGGCAATAAGGGAGAGTACTGAAATGATTGATGTCTTCCTTATGATGTAATGGCTCTGTTGTCTGATTTTCATTGGCTAACAAAAGTTTATAAAGCAATGCTACTAACTTTCTAAGGCATGACACTTCTGGACGTAACTCTGCCAGCGTTCCAGATTGTCTGCCACCCAGCCATTTTATTTGATCAAATAAAGAGCTGTCTAAGAAGCCTCCGCTTGGGTTATCTGATTAGACCAGTGGTTCTCAACCTTTTTAATGCCACGACCCCCAACCGGTCGTAAGTCGAGGACTACTCAACCGGTCGTAAGTCGAGGACTACTCAACTGGTGCAGCACCGTTTGCAGAATGGGACTTTTGGCAGGCTCAGCATGGCAGAGACAGCCTGGACAATTCCTATTGGCTTTTGAAAGCCAATAGAATTAGACTCTATTCAAGAGAGTCTATTCTATTGGCTTTCAAAAGCCAATAGAATAAAAGGGAGTAGCACAGCTAAGGAAAAGGGGGAAAAAAATGGTGGACTGCATTGTTTGGCGACCCCCATGAAATGGTCGTTCGACCCCAAATGGGGTCCCAACCCACAGGTTGGGTATCTCAAATTCAAGTAAGGGACTGTGTCATGCCTCTGTCGGAGCCTGAATCTGCATAGGAAAAGGAGATGGAACTTGACCCTATGGAGGTCGAGGGAGAGGTGTCTGTGGCTTCAAAGGAATGTGGGGAAGAGCAGGCTGAGGCAAGCCAGGGCCCTTCAGGAGGGGGACAGGATGAACATGAGACACAGAGCTCAGGAGATGAGTAAGGGCCACCCCCTCCTGATCCTAGAGCACGGAGAGTGAAGAGAAGAAGGGAACAATGCAGGCAGGCTCAACTATTCGGGAGGAGAGCGTCCTGCCCCTCTCCACAAGGCACACCTGGAAAATGAGATTTAAGGAGACGTTGTGGGGAGAGGCATTTGTCGGGAACAAACGCTGATTCCTTGGAGTTTTGTGTGTGTTGTTGCTGATCTCTTGCTCTGTGACTTCTGCTTGGAAACCCAGAAACTATGACCCTTGGACTGGCTGACAACATTGCTTGGATGTTTATAGATCTCGGACAGTATTTTGGCTTCCCTTTTGAAACAGCTCAGGCAAGCGTGTTGTTAGGTTTATGATGTATGTGTCATTCTCTCTTATCTCCGTGGCCTTGAGTAAATTCCTCTCCTAAATCAGACTGTATGTGAAACTACTTGCAGCCAGAGGTGTGTGTGTGTCTTTCGTTGTTTGGAGGCTTGCCAAAAACGTGGGAGCATTTGGGGAAAATTTGGAGCAATTAAAGGGCGGTTTGAATTGCCAGCCGACTGCATTGCCTCTGTGCTGTGCCCTGGGTCATCACAGACTGGGACCTTACACTAACTTAACAACTGCAGCAATTCACTTCAGAGCTTCTGCACCAGAGACAAATTCCTGGTGTGTCTAATCACGCTTGGCCAAATAAAGTACTCAATTCTATTCAGTTCAACAGCTGTGGCAGAAAGATCATAAAATTGGTTCGTGTTTGTGACAGTTGCAGTGATCACGTGATCCCCTTTTGTAACCTTCCGACCAGCAAAGTCAAGGGGGAAGCCGGATTCACTTAACAACCACAGTTATTCGCTTAACGACTGTGGTAAGAAAGGTTGTAAAATGGGGAAAACTCACTTAACCACTGTCTCGCTTTAGCAATGGACAGTGGGGGCTCAATTGCGGTCGTAAGTCGAGGACTACCTGTACTGTGTTTCAAAGGTTCCTGGAAAGGGGCATTGCACGGCATGCAAAGGGAAGCCAGGATCCCTACCCGCACAGGGTTGTTGTAGGTCTGTGAGGCTCTTTCGCTGAAATTAAACTGGTTGGTGAGCTTCCGTTCTTGCTGGCCTCGTGGACGGACTTCCTCCTCTTTTTCAATCTGGATTTCCTATTGGAGCAGGAGAAAAGGAGACAGAGCTGAAAACGAGCCAGGATTCCATGTTACAGAAGGGCAGGTTGCCCAAGATTCCAAGATTTAATGATAATTAATTCTGATGGAAATACTAAATCCATCATCAACCTCAAAGGGGAGAGTTAGAAAAACAATTGATTGGTTGGGTAATCTGTTTCTCCGTCCGTCCATCCAACCATCCAACCATCCAACCATCCAACCATCCAACCATCCATCCATCCATCCATCCATCTACCTATTTACCTATCTATCTACCTATCTATCTATCTATCTATCTATCTATCTATCTATCTATCTATCTATCTATCTATCTATCTATCTATCTATCTATCTATTTATCTACCTACCTACCTACCTACCTACCTACCTACCTATCTATCTATCTAAAGCACAAGTGGCTAATTTAATAATAAAATTTAATTAAATAATAATTTAATTTAATAACACTTCTCACCTCCTCCAGTCCCAAAGAGCTCTGGGGCAAGTGTTAAGAAAAGTAGAAATGATTTGCCAGGTGGGTCTCCATCACATTAGGTGACTAAATGTTTAGACCAGGGATATCCGACCTTGGCAACTTTAAGACTTGTGGACTTCAACTCCCAGAATTCCTCGGCCAGTCATGTCAACCCCACTCTCTTCTAACACTGAGTCATGCTGGCTGAGGAATTCTGGGAGATGAAGTCCACAAGTCTTATAGTTGCCAAAGTCGGACATACTTGGTTGGACACCCCTGCTTTAGACATTTGAAGGTTAATATAGTTCCTTAGGATCAGAGTATCACTTCATAAAACAATGTCTCAAGCATGTTATAAAAGCAAACATGGGAGACTAGAAAGTTGGAAAGCTGAATCGTCCATCCATTATGTAGTGTTTCTTAACTTTGGCAGCTGACTCAAATTTACAACGGTTGCCGTGTCCCGGGATCACGTGATTCCCCTTTTGTGACCTTCTGACAAGCAAAGTCAATGGGGGAAGCCAGATTTGTTTAACGACCGTGTGACTAACTTAACAACTGCAGTGATTCCCTTAAGAGTTTCTGCACTGGAGACAAATTCCTTGTGTGTATAATCACACTTGGCCAAATACAGTATTTAATTCAATTCTGTTCAACAATTGTGGCAAGCAAGGTGGTAAAATGGAGCATAACTCCCTCCACCGTTGTCTCACTTAGCAAGGGAAATGTTGGGCCCTAGTGTGGTCATAAGTCGAGGACTACCTGTTACTCAAGACACTGGCATTCAAAACAAACCGCTAAGCCTGATTTTATATCCTTGGACTGTTATTGACCTTATATTTTTCCTTCCAGAGATTGAAAAGCAGTTTGCAATCAATAATGTCCCGAGGGATCACGTGATACTCCTTTTGCGACCTTCTGATGGGCAAAGTCAACGGGGCAACCAGATTCACTTAACAACTGTGTGACTCACTTAACAACTGCAGTGATTCACTTAACAACTGGGGCAAGAAAGGTCGTAAAATGGAGCAAAAATCCACTTAACAAATGTCTCGCTCAACAACAGAACTTTTGGGCTCAATTGTGGGTCGTAAGTTGAGGGCCACCTGCAGTTAGAAGATTGCTATGAAGCCTTACTAGCAATTCTGGCTTCTCCCCTATCACTACTTCGGCTTCTTCTTCTTCGCCTCCTTCAGCTTCGGCTTCTTTGAGTTCTGCATCCAGGGCGTCAAAGTCCACAACCACAGATGAAACAGGACCTACAACTAAGAACAAAACGGATGGGGGGAAAACAACAAACGTATTTTAGAAGTCCCTGCAGAATAGCAATAGCAATAGATTTATATACCACTTCACAATGCTTTACAGTCCCTCTCTAAGCATTTTAAAGAGTCAGCATCTGGCCCCCAACAATCTGGGTCCTCATTTTACCATCCTCAGAAGGATGGAGGGCTGAATCAACCTTGAGCCGATCAGGATCAAACTGCTGGCAGTGGGCAGAGTCAGCCTACAATACTATAGTCTAACCACTGCGCCACCATGGCAATAGAATAGAACAGAATAGAATAGAATTAGCACTTAGACTTATATACCACTTCACAGTGCTTTACAGCCCCTCTCTAAGCAGTTTAAAGAGTCAGCATCTGGCCCCCAACAATCTGGATCCCCTTTTACCATCCTCAGAAGGATGGAAGGCTGAGTCAACCTTGAGCCGGTCAGGATCAAACTGCTGGCAGTAGGCAGAGTCAGCCTGCAATACCATAGTCTAACCACTGTGCCACCATGGCAATGGAATGGAATGGAATAGAATAGAATAGAACAGAACAGAACAGAACAGAACAGAACAGAATAGAATAGAATAGAATAGAAACAGCACTTAGACTTATATACCACTTCACAGTGCTTTACAGCCTCTCTCTAAGCAGTTTAAAGAGTCAGCATCTGGCCCCCCAACAATCTGGGTCCTCATTTTACTGACCTTGGAAGGATAGAAGGCTGAATCAACCTTGAGCTGGTCAGGATCAAACTGCTGGCAGTGGGCAGAGTCAGCCTGCAATACTATAGTCTAACCCAGGGGTAGGCAACCTTGGCTCTTTTATGACTCATGGACTTCAACTCCCAGAATTCCTGAGCCAGCATGGCTCAGCTTGGAAACCTCTTCCTTTCCCCTCAGCATAGCTGGCTCAGGAATTCTGGGAGTTGAAGATCACGAATCATAAAAGAGCCAAAGTTGCCTACCCCTGGTCTAACCACTGAGTCATCATGGCAATGGAATGGAATAAGAATAGAATAGAATAGAATAGAATAGAATAGAATAGAATAGAATAGAATAGAATAGAATAGAATGGAATGGAATGGAATGGAATGGAATGGAATGGAATGGAATGGAATAGAATAAGAATAGAGTAAAGTAGAATAGAATTAGCACTCAGACTTATATACCACTTCACAGTGCTTTACAGCCTCTCTCTAAGCACTCTACAGTTAGCATCGTGCCTCTAACAATCTGGGTCCTCATTTTACCGACCTTGGAAGGATGGAAGGCTGAGTCAACCTTGAGTTGGTGAAGATCAAACTGCTGAACTGCAGGCAGCCAGCAGAAGTAGCCTGCAGTACTGCGTTTTAACCACTGTGCCACCACGCAGAATACTATCTCATCAGAAATAGCGATGGCTTCTCTGCTGTGCAGGTAGTCCTCGACTTACAACCATTTGTTTAGTAACCATTCAAAGTTACAACAGCACTGAAAAAAAATGACTTATGTCCATTTTTTCCACACTTACGACCGTGGTTGCAGCATCCCCATGGTCACGTGATCAAAATTTAGACAGCTTGGTAACTGGCTCGTATTTATGTATGACAGTGGCAGTGTCTCGGGATCATGTGATCCCCTTTTGTCACCTTCTGACAAGCAAAGTCAGTGGGGAAGCCGGGTTTCACTTAATGGCCGTATCACTAGCTTAATAACTGCAGTGATTTGCTTAACAATCGTGGCAAACGAGGTCAGAAAATGAGGCAAAATTCACTTAACAACTGTCTTGCTTAGCAACAGAAATTCTGGATTCTGTTGCGGGTGTAAGTTGAGGACTCCCTGTAGTTATTACAGCTGGGGCTTTGGCTAGGCCAGGGGTAGGCAACCTTGGCTCTTTTATGACTCGTGGACTTCAACTCCCAGAATTCCTGAGGCAGCATGGCTCAGCTTGGAAACCTCTCCCTTTCCCCTCAGCGTGGCTGGCTCAGGAATTCTGGGAGTTGAAGTCCACGAGTCATAAAAGAGCCAAGGTTTCCTACCTCTGGCCTAGGCCTACCAGTTTCTGATAATCTACTCCTCTCAGGCTTAATAGACTAGGCCAGGGGTAGGCAACCTTGGCTCTTTTATGACTTGTAGACTTCAACTCCCAGAATTCCTGAGCCAGCATGGCTCAGCTTGGAAACCTCTCCCAGTCCCCTCAGCGTGGCTGGCTCAGGAATTCTGGGAGTTGAAGTCCACGAGTCATAAAAGAGCCAAGGTTGCCTACCCCTGGGCTAGGAAATCAGCAGAAAACACTCAATTTTCTAGCCAGAAAGACTTTAGCTGAGAAACAAGATGTTGACCAGATACCAAAAACGGCAGACCAGTGTTTTTCTCTCATTCCCACGATAGCTGAGCTGAGGTGGCGCAGCAGTTAGAGTGCAGTACTGCAGGCCACTTTAGCTGACTGTGTTCAGCAGGTCAGCGGTTCAAATCTCACCGGCTCAAGGTTGACTCAGCCTTCCATCCTTCCGGGGTAGGTAAAATGAGGACCCATATTGTTGGGGGCAATGTATATATATATATATATACATTGCTTACTGGTGTACACCGCTTAGAGAGTGCTTGCACTTAAAGCGGTATATAAGTCTCATAAATAAATAAATAAATAAATAAATAAATAGGAATCAGCTGACTTTTCCCATCTCAGGAGGAATGAAGAAGGTTCATGGAGAAAATACCTCACAATGTTGCTTTTCCCTCATATTCTTAATAAATTCCCACTAGAAGAGGAAGCTCCGGAGTTCTTCCATCCTATGTGGATGCTCTAAATCAGTATTTTTCAACCTTAGCTAACTTGAAGATGTGTGGATTTCGACTCCCAAAATTCCCTAGCCCACATGGCCTAGCCAGGGAATTCTGGGAGTTGAAGTCCAGACCTCTTTAAGTGGTTAAAGTTGAGAAACACTGCTCTAAATCAAAGGGAAAATCCCACCCACAATAGTCAACCCCTTCCCTTCCCCAGGGGAGGGGGGAAAAGAGGGCCCTCCTCCCAATTAGACTGCAAGGCCTCCATCACCAATTATCTACCAGCTTGGCTGAGAGACCCACAGTTATCTCTGATGCCCTCATTCTCCTACTGAGAGGTAGAGGAAGGTCTAGGTCACAGGTAGGCAACCTTGGCTCTTTTATGACTCGTGGACTCATTCCCACAACAGGGAACTCGATGCTATCAGAAAACCCCAAACCAGGACAGTTGAACAATTACATCTCCTACTTAGTTTCCCAGAAACTGGGTTTGAGAGGGACACTCTCTCCAGTAACATGTAGCCGTCAGAAGAAATTGTTGTCCATAAATTAATCTAATTCTCTTTTACTCATGCATATTTATAGCCATCTGTACAACTTTTCACCAGATGATCCATCAAATTAAAAAGTGAGGAAGACCTCCTGCCCACTTCCTCTCTTCCATGTATAATCACCTGTGTATCAATCATTTTTCCCTTTGCTCACTTTTTAAAAAGCAGAGGGGATCTATTTATTGGATCGTTTCGATACAGGATGGGTGGCCAATACATTTTATCAATAGATAAATATTGTAAACGTTCTGTAGCTTTCTTTTCAGCACCTTTTCCAGTTCCCCGGTATCCTTTCCAAGGGGACACGACAAAGGTGAATTGCACACAACTTACAAAGATGGTTGCGACGTACATTCCTCCAAAGGGTATTCTATAACCCACCATATTTGCTCTTTTATTTTGCAGTTCTATTGTGAAGTTAGGGTGGGACCTGCCACTACTTAAACCTCTCAATAGAAACAATCCTTGGCTACATTTGTCGACAAAGGTATAGTTTATTAGAGTACAATAAAGTACAATACAGTATAATACAATAACAGAGTTGGAAGGGACCTTGGAGGTCTTCTAGTCAAACCCCCTGCTCAATACAATCATGTGTATTGCAGCAGCATTGAAAAGCCAGAACTGAGAATTGCATGCCAAAATCCAACGCTGGAAGTTTTTAAGAAGAGATTGGACTGCCATTTGTCTGAAATGGAATAGGGTTCCCTGCCTGAGCAAGGGGTTGGACTAGATGACCTCCAAGATCCCTTCCAACTTTATTATTCTATTCTGTTCTGTTCCGTTCCATATATTCTATTCTATTCTATTCTATTCTATTCTATTCTATTCCATATTTTCTATTCCATATTTTCTATTCTTTTCTGTTCTGCTCTGCTCTGCTCCGCTCCGTTCCATATATTCTATTCTATTCTATTCTATTCTATTCTATTCTATTCTATATCCTATTGCTTATTCTATTCTATTCTATTCTATTCTATTCTATTCTATTCTATTCTATTCTATTCTATTCCATATTTTCTATTCCATATTTTCTATTCCATATTTTCTATTCCATATTTTCTATTCTTTTCTGTTCTGCTCTGCTCTGCTCCACTCCGTTCCATATATTCTATTCTATTCTATTCTATTCTATTCTATTCTATTCTATTCTATTCTATTCTATTCTATATCCTATTGCTTATTCTATTCTATTCTATTCTATTCTATTCTATTCTATTCTATTCTATTCTATTCTATTCTATTCTATTTTATTCTATTTCTACTTTTTTCTCCCTTAACTCTCTCATTTCCCACCCCAGTGTCACCAATCAAGTCCTTGCAAGATGTTTTCATAAGGGTCAGTCCAAGTGAAATTTGGTACACGGCCCCCTTTTCCTTCCAGCTGTATCAAGAAGATACAGCCATTACTTTCATTTCCACAAGCATTGCCCCCTTCATTCCCCCTCTGCACAGTTCATGGCAGTCTGTCACCACATAGCAGCGAAGCACAAGTAAGGATCAGGTGGCAGCTGACAGTTAGCCTTTTCCCCTGCAACCCCGTGATGAAGCTAAGAATGTCCTCAAGGTTTGGGGGGGGGGGGAATATCAGAATGGCAATTCTGACAGTGCAATCAAAATTCTGCTTGAGGTATGTGTGTGTGTGTGTGTGTGTGCGTGCGTGCGTGCGTTGCAT